TACTTAGTTAAGATCATGTTTATCATGTTTGTCTACTGAAGATGTACCTCTTCTTTCTAATGATCTCATGGGGGAAGGATTTCTATGGTTATAGGGTTAACTTTCCACCAGAAATAATTAGAAAACTGGGCAAAAATGTAGGAGAAAACTATTTCAGACATTAGACCAGAGGCAGGGCAGGTCTATGAACCTTAAAAAAAGGGGGAGACAAATGAGGTAAACCCTACGATTGCCCAGCCTTCCTGCCTGGACGTTATTCCTGGACGGGGCTGCAGGAGTGGGAGCTCACAGAGAACTCAGTGGTCTCACTGAATTGAGGAGACAGAGATCAGAGTTTGAGGAGGTCAAGGTTAAAAGCAAACTTTAAAAGTATCAGAGTAATTCACAATTAACTGCCTGCCAGAAAAAATGCCAACAGTGTTTAAAGGAATGCAGCGAAATTCTCCCAACAACGTAAAATCCCTAATGTCTACATTCAGTTTAAAAAATTACTAGAAATACGAGGCAGAAGAATGTGACCCATAACCAGGAGAAGGATTAGTCAATAGAAGCAGATCCAGAAATGGCAGAGATGGTGACGTTAGCATTCTACAAGACAACGGACCTGGGCTCTTTAAAAATATTCACGTCGTGGAAGACCGTTCCAGAGGAAAAGACTCTAAAGAGACATGACAGCCAAAAGCCACCAAGTGGAACCTGTGATCCTGCTTGGATCTTGCAGTAAAAAAAATAAACAAAACCCCTGTAAACTGCATAATAGTAATTGGGGAAATTTGAATATGGATGAAAATATTACTATTTCAGTGTTAATTTTCTTGGGTGTCATAACGGTATGTGTCCCGTAGAAGCATGTCCCTGTTTCTAGGAGATAAATTCTGAAATATTTGGAGATGACGTGTCACAGCCCCTCCCTGCAATTTATTTTTAAATGGTTCAGGAAAAGTGAAAGAAAAGGCAAACGTAGTACAATGTTAAAAAAATAGAACAAGCAACCAAACCTGTATTGAGATTTGGGGATGTAAGTGTCGTGTACATACTTTATATCGTCATGTAAGCATAGCTGTGATGGTTAACTCCAAGATAACTATATAAAGTAATTATAAGTTTCCTGTATGAAGTTCAAGCTTAAAAAACTGGTATTGAGAGAGAGCATCATTCTGTGAATTGGGGTCTCAAAAACTGAGACATTACCAGGAAAATATGAACCCAGGAGATGTTCTGCAGGGCGTGTATATGAGTGTGTACACTTTCACGTGCGTGTGTGTATGTGTGTATGACTCCGCGGGGAAGGAAGTATGGGTAATCGTTACTGTCCTCTCTGCGGCTGGTCATGGGCTGTAATTATATTTATTTCTCTTCTACTTTTCACTACAGATTTGTTTTACCCTTACCTCCCCCCGCCCACCAACCAGGACTTCAGCTGCTCACTGTTTGTTGTCTTGCGGGGGGACCTCAGTCTTCCTTTCTGAGGGTTCTGAGTCTTTCCTCGTCCTGTCACTATGGGGGGCTGTGGGTTGCCATTCATTTTTAGCACATGACATGACAGTTCTAGGAGGCACCCCAGGGACTCTCCTGGGTTCCAGATCCCCTCCTCCATGCCCCTACTGTGTTGCAGTAACCCTACTTCCCCTTAAAATAATCAGGCTTACATCCCCATCCAACATGGTAACCCTCTTTTTTTTTTACCCGTTGGCCCAGTGGCAATAGGACACACTCATGGCCAGGTTGTGTTCTTCTGGCAAAAGTGTTCCCCTCTTGGGTACTAAGCCTCTTAACTGGCACAGCCCAAGGTGCTTTCCCCTTGTTGTCAGGGCTGACCCCGAGGGAAGCTCTACTTCTGGATCCTCCCAGCCATCCCTGGCCACAAGCAGCTTTACCTGTTCAGCCAGGACGCGAAACAAATTCTATCATTTTCTCGATGTCCCGTGATGTGACACAGCAGAGATCTGGTAGACGCTTGTGCATCCAGGCTTACTGTCTCTTCTTGCGTGGAGACTTCTGTGTAAATGAGCCTGAGTGGGTCCTCTGGAAGATGGAGCCCATGTGGTCAACCGCGAGCCTGCCACGGCCAGACCTCTGAATGAGGCCATTCTGGACAACCTGCCACCAGCTGACCACAGAAGCATGAGAGAGCCCAGCAGAGGTCGCCCAAGCCAGCTCACAGAGTCACACGCTAAACAGAAGAGCTGTTGTTTTGAGCTACTAAGTTTTGGGGTGGTTTGTTATGCAGCAAAAACTAACTGATACACCCACCCTGCCTTAGATGAACAAAGGCTGCCCCTTGGCCTCTGCCATGTTGAAGTGACCTCAGTTCCACTGAACTTGGGGGGCCCGTCTCAATGGCAGCTTCTCCCAGCATCATTCCTGGGCTACCAAGGATGGCCACTGATATGTCCTCTGGGTCTTCTCAGGGGAGATGGCCACATGTGACAAATCCACTCAAATATCCTTCCACATTATACCAGGAATATGGCTGTCATCCCATTTTCATTCAGTGGAGGCCAATGCCAAGTCCATTTTCAGTAAGCAACCTGGCAAGTGGGTTAGAACCACTCCCAGCTGGTCCCACTGGTGCCCCGGGATTCAGACTCCCCAGCAAGTACATCTGTATCAGTGAATGCAGCCCGATCTACAAGTGTGTCTCTTCTTCCCTGGCCCAACACCCTTCCCGTACATGTTTCCCCTTTCTTGCTGACATAAATTAGCAAATGTTTACCACTTTAAAAAAGATATAAACCTCACCCCCCGGGTTTGACTTTGTATCTGCCCTCCAGGACAGGCTGGAACTGACTGTTGTTTAAGTCCGGGGGCTGGGAGGGTGACAGGGATGCTGCGTGAGAAGAGTCAGCTTTCCCTGCAAGGTAGACCTCCATGAGGTCATTACAAAGTTTCCTGGGAGGGGAGAGCCTCTCCCGTCAGCCATGGGGGCAGGGCTGCTCCTGCTGCCGCGATTCAGGCTTGGGCGCTTGGGTTTAACTGCAGGTGACTATTCCATGCTTAGAGTCCCTCTCTTCCCCCAAAGGATGCCCTGCCTTTCACGCAGGAAACTTGGCGAGGCTGTGGATTCAGTCTGCAGCACACAGGATTAGATGCTGCATCTGATTTTCAGCTGTATCATCCCTGTAACAGCCCCAAGAGACGGGAATTCTTTTAGGGCCATTATAAGAACTCCCTGGTACTCTAACTAGAGAGGAGTACCAGGTAACCTGGACTGAGGATTTAAAGCCCTGGGACTATTTACTTTTAAGCAACTCTTTGGTATGACAATAAAGAAAAAACTCACCCACGGTTCTTGAATAAACAACGTGTATCATATCGTGTATGGAAGCCACAACGCAGTCTGCCGAAGCTAGGGGTTTAATAGGTCCTTAGTTCTGGGCGATTACAGGTAATCATTTTGCCACCGTGTGCTTTGACCTACTAGATTTCATTCTCTGACGGTTACTAGGTCCTCACTGTCTTGAAATCAACCAGAACTAGTAACCAATTCCAGATCCCCATCCAGGAGGGTACATTGCCTGCAATTATTTCTGGTAACCAATCCTACGTTAATTGGGATTCAGCTGCAGATAACTGGAACCACTTTAGTTGCTGAAGCAGAAGGGAATATAACACAGGAAATCAGGTGATCACAGAGCCACGGCTGTTTGTGGGAGCAGGCTGGCGAGGGGGTCCTCCAGCAGTGACTCGGAATAATACTGCACGCTGGCCACCACCGTGGAGCTCCCGAATGATGGCTGGCTCCAGAGGCACGATCTCGGGGCCAGGTATTTTCTATTCACCTCTCAGATCCACTTGCCACTGTTTTCCACCCTGAACTCATGCATGGACTGTTGCGTCAGTGGGCTTTCTGGCCTCTGACTTCCAGTTGGGTTTGACCAATGGGTGGCGCTGGCAGGAAAAAGGCGTTTGGAGGAGAGTGAGGTCAGGGTATTTATCCCTCTGGCTCTGCCCTTCTGCTGGGGGGTTGGCTGCATCCTTTACCAGAAGCCACAGCCCCTCGCCGTGGCCCCTCTTAGCGCATGTGTCATTCTCTTCCTGGGCTCTGGAATCCGTTCCTGCCTCTGCCCCCTTAGGCTTTGGAACTGGGACAGCTCCTATACTGCTAGCCTCGGGGTGCGGTGCTATGTCTTCTGGGTTCCCTAAACCCTGCCCCAGCAGTCCCTTTACTAAGTACTCTCCAGCTTCCGCATTTGAGCGTGCCATCTCTTTGCTGCCGGGACCCTGGGCAATGCACCTACTAGAATGCAATCCAGGGCTCAGGAAGCTGCCACCCAAGCATGGGATCCGTAGCCATGCTATGCCCACTACACCTGCCCCAGCAAAAGGGGTGTCCAGGCACATCTCCTTCTCACTGCATTTTGTCACGAATCCCGGTCTCGCGTGGGTGCTTCAGAATGGCAGACTAAACCACGCACCTCTGTGTCTTCCTCTGTAACGTGGGGATATGAAAGCACCTGCCTCTGAGGCTGGGTTCTAGTAAGATTAAAGCCCTGACAGTTAGGCTTGCTTCGTCAGTTACTCAACAGATACTCGCAGCAACATCAGTAATACCTTTTGTCATTTTCATAACATTTCACGAACAGCCACCCTTTCCTGCTTGCACGCTTCTCATCTGCTCTGCCCCCTTTTCTGCAGGATCTGTCTGCAGAGAAGGGGTGGTTAGCTTCCGGTCACCCAGCACTGTCACCTGTCGCTATGGAAACTCGCGACTTCAGCCAGGCTCATGAAGATTCAAGCTGTAGAGACCAGCTTGAGTCTGCCCCGCTGTCCTGGGATCTCTCCTTCTGGAATTCCTCTAGTCCTTTGCACGTTCCCTCTACCTGGAATATTCTTACCCATCTTCTTCAACTGGCAAGCTCTTATACATCCGTCAAAGCCCACTTCCCCTTTGGAAAGACTTCCTGATTGTAGCCATCAATATTTATCCATTGAGCCCCCTTTGTGCCAGGCGTTGCTCTAGGCACTGGGACAAAGGAAACCTTAACGGGGCTGTGGTAAAGAATCATGAGAGGATCTACTCTTTAGATAAGGCAGCTAGGGAAGGCTTCCTGTAGGAGGAGGCACTTAAGCTGATGATAACAATGCGAACTAAGCCATTTTAGAAGCTGGCGTAGGGGCTTCTAGGCAGAGGGCACAGTGAGTGTGAAGACCCCGAAGAAGGAAGGTATGTGTCAGTGTGGCTGGGAGGGCGTGAGGGCGGGAGAGGATACGAGATGAGGATGGAGGTGTAGCTGGCGGGTCACATGCGCACCTAGGGGCTGAGCTGGGCAGACTGGATTTCTTTTTTTTTTTTAACATCTTGATTGGAGTATAATTGCTTTACAATGGTGTGTCAGTTTCTGCTTTATAACAAAGTGAATCAGTTATATGGATTTCATTTTAAGAGCTATTGGACACCACTGACGGCTTTTGAGCGAGTTGGGCTGTGAAGTGGGTCCTCTGGTCGCCTGTAGAGAGCACCTCCTGGGTGGGAGGTGGGGTGCGAGTGGAGCTGGCAACGCGAGTCCAGCTAGTAGAGGCTCCCGCGTGGTCCAGGAGAGAGGCTGGGGGCGGGGAGCTGGAGCTGACAGTCTGCTGATGGTGGGCCTGGGGGAAGCCGACTCCCAGCCTCTGGCCTCAGGAACTGGCTTGGTTTGCCTACCGGGGAGGCGAGAGGGAGAGAAGGAGGTGTGGCTGGGCCCCAGGGGCAGAGCTTTCCGGTGGGGCTGCAGCGGCTTCGCTTTCAGAGCATCAGGCCCTACGGCCCCGGCAAGGAGGAAGCTCTCTGCAGACGCGGCCCGGCAGGCCCGGCAGAAGCCACAGGCCCTGGAGGAAGTGAGCTTCTTGCCCCTGCGGGGCCCCCGCCGCCCTAGGGAACCCGGAAGCTGTTTTGGTTTGGAATCCGGGGACCACTGTTCGCGCTCCGTGGTCTTCGTTTCCTGGCGTGGAGGAAGCAGCCAGGTGAGTCCTCGCCTCTGGGGCTTTCTGCTCGGCCGCCTGAGCTCACACGGAGGGAGGGCTCCGAGGGGCCTCGTGGAAACGGAGCCCAGAGAGCACAGGCTTAGCTGAGCCGCCACCGGGAGGGAGCCTGCAAGGCAGCCCTCTCGCCACCCAGGCTTAGAGGCGGCCGTCCCTCCAGCCCCAGAGGCCCAGACAGCCAGGAGGGCACTGGCCCACCTCTTGTGTAGCCAGGCCAAGAGTCTCCCTTTCCACCCTGTCATCTCCCCTAAGCTTCATCCGATGTGTTGGGGAGAGAAAGGCAAGCCCCAGTCTCCAGATGAAGAAACGGAGGCCCAGGTCAGGGAAGGGGCTGCCCGGGGCTGCTGATGCCTGGAGGCCGCTCCCAGCTCTGCGTCCACTCAGTTGCCTTTGGCGAGCATCGAGTCCAGCCCCTCCTTGTAAGGAAATATCAGGACCAGAGAGGGGAGGCTATTTGCCCAAAGTCACACAGCCAGAATGAGGAGCTGCCAGCCTGGAACCCAATCCCTCAACCCCCAGGCCAAGTTCTTTCCTCTGGCCACACCCTGTGAACCGAATCCCCTCCAAAAGGAAGCTTGGGAATACGGGGGATGGAGTTGGCCCAGTGGCTGTGTTCTCCCCGCTCCCACACTTTAGGGCAGGACAGAGCCAGTGCCCCAGTGTCCCCAGGCTGGCTGCCAGCGTGACAGGGTGGCTACAGCCCTGCGAATGCTTCCGTGTCTCCGCAGCTCTGCGCCCTGCCGCTCCAGCCAGGCCTCCCCGGGGCTGGAGCTGACCACCAGCTTCTGCTGCATGAGGGCCCTGCCCCAAATGTCCGCTTGGGGTTGGGGGTGCTGGGGAAGACCCAGGGGCAGGAGAGAAAGTGGGAGGGCAGGGCCCTCAGACGAGCAGGAGAGGAAGTGAGTCCAGGGAACCAGGAAGGAGGTTCTGAATCTGCCGGGCCCAGGGGGAGCCTGGCCCCTGCCCCCTGCCCCCGGCAAGGACGAAGAAGGGCACCTGTGGGCTCTGGGAATGCTGGCCCTTCCTGGCGAGCAAAGAGATCCCTAAACCACCACGACAGGCCGGGGTGACAAGCCCTGTTGTGGAGAACCTCGCTTAGAATTGGGGCCAGGCAGGGCCAGGCCACCCCCTGAGAGCCCAGCCTGCACCCCAGTCCCGTCCACTCACTCACAGTCTGCGGTGCCTCTCTGTGTCACCCCGACTCAGGCGCAGGGCCCAGAGAGGACAGGCCTGCCGTCCCCCAACCCCGCGCCCGCAGGAGCTCCTGGTCTGCAGATGTCACCCATCGGTGTGTTCACCGCAACCAACCATAGCAGCTCCATGCGGCCCGCCCAGATTTCCCCCTGGAGCTCAGCCCGAGGGTCTTCTAGATCCACGAAGCTCTGAGAAGTGGGCTGCTCCCTTGGCCCTACTGCCCCGGGTGGGTGGGCTTCCCGTGTGCTGTAGTGGGGCCATGGGCTGGCCGCCCTGCGCCTGACCAAGGACCCCATCTCCCGGCCAAGACTTTGCCCAGGTCGGGACCTCAGTCGCTGCCTTTCTCCGCACCTGCGTCCTGCAGGAATCGGCTCCAAGCTTCCCTCTCACCAGGGGCCCCGTCCCTTTGCCCAGGCAGCGCGGTGACTTGTCCATCCAAAGTCAGCTCCCACCCTCTCTCTCCCTGTGCCTCCTGGTCTGGAGGAAACGACACACAGAGTGAGTTTAGAGTGACTCGGAGGGTGATGTCCTGTTTCCTGCATCCCCAGGGCCGGCAAGGCAGTGATGGAGCCGGAGTCTCTCTACAACCTGCTGCAGCTCCCCGGGAGGGTGAACCAAGCGGCCGGGGTGACACTCTCACAAGGTGCCGTGCCAGCGGGGGATGGGGGCAGGATCTGCATTGTAAGAACCGAACAAGCCGTGCTGGGTACTGCATTGCTTTGCTAAGTTGTCAGCTGGACACCCGGTTCTGTCCAGCCTCTGCCTCTGCCTCCTGCTTTATACTTGACCCCCTGCTTCTGGAACCTTCCACAGAGTTATCCCTGTCTCCCACATAACCGCACATCTCCAATCAGGATACTGATTGCTGTGTGTGCCCACTCTGGGCTGGGCCTGTGCTGAGAACTTCTTATACACAGCATCTCACCTATTACTCTGAGGATGGGTGTTTTTACCTCCTTTTTACGGACAAGGAAACTGAGGCACAGGGAGTAACGTAGCAGAGCACCAAGTCCAGAGTCGCGGGGCCGACTCCGTTAACTGGCGCTCTCGGTTTATAAGTGGTTTCAGGTTGGAAAGCAACATAAGGAAAATTGCAGTTCGGGTGGTGGGGCTTCACGATTTGAAAAAATATTTATGTTTTGTTTTAGAGTTGGTTTAGAGATACTTAGAGTTCTGGCAGGCAGAGCTGGAACATGGTATGATTCCGAGTGGCAAGAAATCTGCTCCAGGGAAGGGCCACAGCCACTCACACGCTTGCTCGCTCTCTCCCCAGGCGTCTGTCAAGGGCCCGCCCTCCTCTCGTCAGAACACACGGGGCTGGGTGGTACGCAGAGGTTTTCAGAACGTCTAGACGTCCCCAGCTGGGCCACATGAACACAGAGGCAATGCATTTTGTGGATTTGGGCAAGGCTGCCCCACTTGGGGGCTCAGTTTCCCACCCCATCCTTTGGGACTCGATTCCAGAGGTCCCCCTTGGCCCTGACCCTTGTGGGTTCCGAGGTTCTTAAACTTGCAGGAGATGCTGAAACAGGTCTTGGGGCTCATAGGACGAGCCAGGCAGCCTCAGTGTCGTGCCCATATGGGGGAGCCAGACAGATGCCGGTGGACTCTGTCCTGGCCCCTTGGAGCCCGGGAATCTGGGCTCATCTGAGCCGTGGCTCCTTCGTATATATGTGAGTAGAGTTGCCAGGTAAACAGAGGATGCCCAGTTAAATGTGAATTCCAGATAGACAAGAAATAGTTTTCGACTTTAAGTATGTTCCCAAAATATAGATGCTGCAGTGTCTGAGGATGAGCTGGTGTTCATGAGGGAAATGTGGGGGGGGAAGGGCATTGGGGGGAGGCTGGAAGAGCATGGGCAAAGGAAGAGAGGTGCAGAGGATGAGGCATGTCCGGGAGATCAATTTCTTTGGATGTTTGGTGCTCAGGGTGTGTGTGTGTGTGTCTGTGTGTGTCTCTGTGTGCGAGTGCGTGTGTATGTATGTGTGCCTGTGTGTTTATGACTGCGTGTGTCTGTGTGTGTGGGTGCACGTGTCTGTGCATCTGTGCGTTTGTACATGTGTGTGCGTGTGTGTGTGTGTGAGAGTGAACTTGTATGCACGTGTGTGTGCATGTGTGTGTGTGCGTGTGAAGCAGCGCGACCGATTTCCTCTTGTGGTCCAGGTGCCAGCTCTGGGGGCGGCCTGCAGGGTCCCCAGGCACATATGCTCATCTCTGCTTCCAGGAGAAAAGAAGAAGTTCCTGCCACCCACTTCCAGGAAGGATCCCAAACTTGAAGAACTGCAAAAGGTGTGGCATCCTTCTCTGAGCCTCTTTCTCTGCAGGAGTCTTCTTGTCTCCCTGGGGTGGGGACCGCAGCCCGCCCCCTCCCCTCCCCGACCTCAGGCTGGTGGGTGGCGATCCCGCCGGCCCCTGGGAGACTGGCTGAGCGGCTGCGTGAGGGATATTTATTGAGCACCGACTGTGCGCCTTTACGTACATGATCCCAGCAAACTTCACGGCATCCTGTCACCTGCCTCCCAGGGAGCAGATAGTGAGGCTCGGAGAAGTGACCTGGCCTGTGGGGGACACATAGCTGGCCAGTGACAGAGCTGGGATTTGACCCAGGTTGTTGACCCCCAATCTCGTGCTCCTTCTCTGGCTCAGCTGCCCAGGGCAGAGGACAGCTGGCGAAGTGGGCAGGTATAGGCATGCATCACCCACTTCTTGGTACTCTTCTTGGCTGTAGGACCAGCTGGACACAGGCTTGGGACCTCCATTTTCCTCTGCCCTACTTCTGTAGTCTCCGTGGGGCCTTTCTGTTGCCTCCTCCAAGGAGGCCTCCTGGCCTGCACCACCTTTGACCCCCTAGAGGATTTGTGGCCCATTTTCCATCCTTTTCTTCTTCCCTCCCATTCTGTCCATCCCCCCATCTACTTTTCCCTCTGCTGCGCCCTGGGACACAGAGGAAAACCTGGCGGCGTGCTGACACTTCATCTTAGTTTGGGTTCCTCCAGAAGCTGAACTAAAGATTCAGGTGCAAATATTGAGTTGGGAGGTAATCGCAGGAGACAAGGAAGGGGAGCAGGGACGTAAGACAGGTGGGAAGGAGACACCCGGGGTGGGTGATGGAGCAGGTGATGGTTGTCGGAGCTCAAGCCGGCTGGGAACCGTTGGGAGCCAGTGTGGAGCGGACACCTTGGAGTCTTCCTGCTGGGGCAGAGGAGCTGGGGTGTTTATCCACCAAGTCCCGTGTAGCTCGGGCTGCTCCCTTAAAGGGATGGGGGGCTGCTTCTCTGCACTTCTGACTTCCAGGGACAGCCCTCAGCCTTTGCTGCAGTTTGCGGGAGGGGGCGGGACACCAGCGCCCATGTATTACCAAAACCTTACACAGAACAAACAATAGCCCGTAGTGGTCAGGTCTTCAGGAGCCCGGAGCAGGCCTCTGACTCAGCCTGGGAGATCAGAGCAGGCTTCCCAGAGGAGGTGATGCTTTTCCTGGCCTTGAAGGACGGGTAGGAGTTGGCTGGTGGGAGGAGGGCAGAGCTGAGCCTGGTGAGAGGCCGGGTGAGGAGTGGCCCCGGGCCAGCTGTCACTCGGGGCCCACAGGTGCTGACGGAGTGGATCAATGCTAAGCTCCTGCCCGAGCACATCGTGGTCCGCAGCCTGGAGGAGGATATTTTCGATGGACTCATCCTGCACCACCTTTTCCGTAAGTGGCTGCTTCCACAGCTGGGCAGTCCCGGAGGGCTGGGTGGTCCCGACTCCCCTGGGGCCAGCCTGGGGCCTGCCCAGTGCCCTCTGCGGTGCCCTTCGCAGATTGGCTGCAGGACAGTCCCACGAGCTACGGCTTCCTGAGCCCTTGCCACGGAGCAGGTGCAGTTAATCCGCAGAACAACTCTGTCCTGTGACTATGCCCGTTTTACAGACCAGGAAACTGAGCTCTGGGAGGCCTGGTACCTTGTCCAAGGTCTCACCGTGAAGAAAGTAGGGGAGCCAGGGGTCTCGGCTTTAACCACTGGGCCACCCTGCCCCACAGGAACGAGGAACGCGTTGATGTGTGGGAGGCTGGGGGTGGGGGGCACAGGAATGGTCAACGTGAGGTCAGCCCGGGACAGGCTCACCCCATCATGCAGCCTGTGTGGCCCATGAGGAAGGGCAGCACCCTGCCTCCCTGGAGGAAGCAGACTAGCTGTGGGTCCCCTGCAGGGGCCCCAACTGTCCCCCCCGGCCAGCTGTTCCCACCCTCTCTCTCCCTCTTACTCCTTCCCCTGCCCTCAGAGAAGCTGACTGGAGTCAAGCTGGACGTGGAGGAAATCGCCTTGACCGCGGCTAGCCAGAGACGCAAGCTCGCCGTGGTCCTGGAGGCCGCCGGCCAGAGCCTGCAGGTGGAGGAGCCGCAGGCCCAGTGGAGCGTGGAGAGTGCGTGGGGCTGGTGTCGGGGGGGGGGGGCAGAGCCCCAGCCTCCTACTCGGGCTGCGGGGGGTGCTGCCTTGAAGCACAGCACGAGGGTGATGAAACGCAGCCTTGTCCACAATGCGGCCACTGCTTACTGAGTTCCGAGCATCACACGCGCGCCCTCGTCTACCTCGTCAGAGGGGCACTAACCATCCTGCTTCATTAATTTAGCTAAGTTGCATCTGCAGTGCCTGCTCGTAAGAAATGAGAGTGTGCAAAGCCCCACCCCGTTGACCATTTGGTATGGTTTCCTGCCATTCCAACCTCTACACCTTCCCCATTTTCCAGATGAGAAAACTGAGGCCAAGAGACACTGAATAGCTTCACCAAGGTTGGGTGGTGAGGATGTAACAGTTTTCAAACCCGGTTTTTGCTGGGTCCCCTGCCACTACCTTCGCCACATTCAATAATTGATGTTTGTAATGTTGGCCCCCAATCAGGTCGCATTCAGCTTAAATCTAACAATTTGTTCACCCAGGGCCCTGCCGTAGGACATCTAGCTGTTTAAACAGCACTGCAGTGAACATCTGTGTGTTAAAATCCCCGGCCACAGGGTAGATTGTGCCCTTGGGCTGTACTTGCAGAAGAGGGATGACTGGGGCACAGTGTGACTATTTTTAGGTTCCGTATGTAGATCTCCGGACCTCTGCTCTCCTGAAGGCTGGACGCAGAGCTCCTTGGCCTGCAGAGGGTGGTTGTGACGATAAGGAACCCACCACGTGGCCCCAGGTTTGGTCGTCCCCCAGGGCTCTGACCTTGTGCCCCCTCCCCTCCCAGGCATCTTCAACAAGGACCTGCTGGCCACCCTGCATCTCCTCGTGGCCCTGGCCAAGTGCTTCCAGCCGGACCTGTCCCTCCCGACCAATGTCAAGGTGGAGGTGATCATCATGGAGGTAAGGCGCAGGGCGCCGGAGGATGCCTGCCTGCTGGCTGAACATCTCGGGGCCGTATCGCCACACCCTGGATGGGGGCATGCTGCACGGGGCGGGGGCTGAACTGGGGTGAGTTCCAGGGAGCCGTGAGAAACACCAAATCCCACCAGGACAGCAGTGGGGGGTTGGGCTGGAGCTGTGGGCGGGAGATGCTGAGTCCAGTGAGGCCACGAGGAAGTCTGTGTGGGCCGGCCAGTCCCACTTACCCAGCAGACGGCACCTACCTGAGGCATCACGAAGGTCCTGGCTGACGGCAACCACATGGGCCATAAGTGGCCATCTGTTCACGGCCTTTCTGGAGTCTTCGCAACACTGGGCCACAGCCACTGCCCTCTCACTGCGATGGTCTCATCCCTCGACAGATGGGTGTGACAAAGGTTCCAGGGACCTTTCTGGGTTTCTCCACCCATGGGGTGCTCCCTGTCTAGCATGTGCAGGACTTCTGCTGCAGATGATGCCCCGGGAGTCCATGCTTTCTCTCTCAGACAGACCCCGGGCACCAGAAACAGGCCCCACCTGCTTCCGCTCTCCGCTCTCCGCTCTCCCCTCCCCCAGCCCCTGGGTACCTGGGGAGCAGCCGGCTTCCCTTGACCCACCCGACAGAACACGCTGATCCAGCCAAACTCAGGAGATCTCTCTTACTTGTTCAAAACAGTTGACTTGAATTCTCCACGGAGCAGTGTCATGGCTTTGTCTACACGTGTGTAAATCAGAGGTGACTTCATTCCTTCATGCATTCACCCCTCATTCATTCACTCACTCATTCACCCACCCACCCACTCTCTCATTCATTCATTCACCCACTCATTCATTTGTTATTCAGATGAACACGTGTCCATTGATACCCTGTGAGCCAGGCACTGGGCAGACTTTGGGGATACCTGGGGAACGAGGCAGACGCGGTCCCCATCCTCGTGGGGCTCAAGGCCTGTGGGAAGAAGGACAATAAAGCTGGCCCCAGTGGTGAGGGCTGCCCAGGAGGCCCCCTTGAGGAGCGGATGAGGCAGAGTAAACTGGGTCCCTTGGGGCTGCTTTGGCCACTACAGTCTCCTCTCGTGGCAGGCGTGGTCCTAGAATTTTCTGTGGTTCCCCCTTTCCATCCTCTTTTCTGTTTCCTAGAGCACCAAGAGTGGCCTGAAATCGGAGATGTCGGTGGAGCAACTCACTGAGTGCGGGTGAGGGAGGGACCAGGGGCGGAGCCTGGGGCCGGGGGCGGGGCAGACCTGCCTGACCTGCTTGGGAGGGGCCCTCACTCCGCCCACCGCCCTAATTGCCGCGGGGCCTGCCTTGGCCCTCACAGGGCTCGCCCTCCACCCTCCGCAAAGCCCGGCAAAACAGGCAGAGCTGGGGGCGGAAGGGGCTCTGGCCCTCGGTCATGAGGTCACACTGCAGGCACTGGGGGCCAGGAGGGACCCGGAAACTGGGGTCTCTGGACCCCAACCCCAGGCTGGTTTCCTAACACCCGGAGCCGGGTGCTGCCGGGAAGCCTTACCTTCATCCATGGCAGGGAGATTCCGCAGCCGGGCTTGAAACTTCCAACCGGTGCCGGGAGGCAAGGGCGCAGAGGGCTCACTCATACCACCAGTGCTTAGAGAGCACCTACTGTGTACGGGGTGGGGCTGGGACCTGGAGTGCCCGGGTCCGCCAGCTGTCGGCCTTTCGCCTGTCCGCGCACGCAGGACGCCAGAGGTCGATCCGCCAATGAGCTCTCCCCTCTGCCTCGACACCCACCTGCACAGCATGTGCTTCGTGGCAGAGCTGGAAACGCTCACATCGGGACGAGGGCCGGGCACGGGCGCTCTGCAACAAGAGAGCCGCAGAGTCCTGGGGTCTGGGAGAAGCAGGGGATCCCATTAGGCGTCTCTGAACTGCAGGCCGCAGTTCAACCTTTAGAAGGGCCTTAGTGCGGGACCAGGCTGGCCTATGGACTAAACTCCTGACTGCCTGGGTGGTAAAGGAAACCATCCATGTACCTCGTACCCCCGACCCAAGCCCTCAACACCCCAGCTGCGTTGTCTCTCCAGGGAGACATGGCCGTCTTGCATTCCTGGACTCCCTTTCGTGGGAGATTGTAACTGGCCCCAGCCAAGGGTCCCTCCCTCCTGCCACCCGTAGGCTCACACTTCCGGGCACCTGCCAGGTCCCTGCCCCGTTCCCTGGGTGGGAGCCCAGCCCTGCTGCAGGCCCCTGGGATGCTTGTTCTGCCCTGTGAATTGTAGAATCTTGACTGGGTACAGGCAGAATGTTTCTCATCTTTGCAAAGTTGCAAGAGCTGCGGAGGGGCCCTGGCTCTCCCTGCCGGGCGGTATTTCTCCAGACCCTGCCACGTGTGGCTGGCTAGCTTCCCCACTTCGCAGCCCACCCCGGTCTGGGCCAAAGGTCTTTCCGGTTTTGGTCTGAGAGTGGGCTCCTTTTGAAGGAAAGTTGTGGATTCTCCTTTCCGCTCTAACACTTACTGAAGGCCTACTGTGTGCAGGGCACTGGGCTGTCTCAGCTCCCTTAACCCATTTTATCCTCAGCAACCCCAGCTGGGTGAGTTCAGTTCTCTTCTGCTCACAGGCTGGGCAGCCAGCCCCACCTGGACTGAAATCCCAGATCAGCCATGTCTGAGCTGTGTTCCCTTGGACAAGTCACTCCCCCTCTCTGAGCTTCTTCACGCCTCTGATAAAGGGGGACCCGTGCCTACTTTTTGGGGCTGCTGTGAGAGTTATAGGTGATGTAGGTGAGGGGACCTTCCCCCTCCTGTACGCCCCCAGCCCTGAGGTCCTTCCGGTCTACGGCTCCTGGATGTTCACTGAGGATGGGGTGGGGGGAAGGGCTCAAACCTCTGCCAGTCGATGATGGTAAGGTCTGTGGTCCAGGCGGTGAGCCGAGCATGGCCAAGGGCGGAGGAAGCAGACTGCTGCTGGTCCCTCCTGCCAGCGGGGCCCGTGCACTCGTCGGCCCATTTACCCTCCCAAGGTCACCCTGGGAGGAGGGCTTGTCCCACCCCGACTCTGGGAGGCTAAATGACCTCCCTGTCGCCCAGCCGCTGAGCGGCTCTGCACGGGGCCCTGTCAAGGCTGAAGCTTCAGGTTCCGTGTTTGGGGACCTTGAGAGGGAGGGTGCAGTTAGCGGTCACGGGCGCTGCACCCCTTCTCCCTTCATAGCCCTAAAATCACCCTTCTCAGCCTCTGATGAGCTCGGAAGTGTCTGTGAGGGCAGCACAGGGATGTGTGCCCCTCCTGGCAGCTGCCCCCCTGCTGAGCCCTGGGTCTCAGGCTGTGCTCTCCACCCCCCAGGGCCACGGTCGGAGGGGCCGCCCGGCTCTCCAGGGAGAGTTCGGCCTACTTGGGGCCCAGAACCTTGCTTCTAGGAGGTGCGCTGGGGCGGAGAATTTAGCAACAAAATCAAAGAAAAACCACTCAAAAACAATAAAAAGGGAGTGAAAGAAGCCAGACACTAGAGAGTACATACGATTTCATTCCATAGACGAACAGACAAAATGAAAGGCCGACAAGATAGAGCAGTGGTAACCTTGTGGGGTGTAATGGGATGGGGGAGCACATTGGGGGTGCTAGGAAAGTTCTGTGCCTTGTTGGGGGTGGTGATTACACACGCGTGTGCATGTAAAAACATGCACCAGCTCTAAAGTTAGGATGTGTGTGTTTTTATTGTGTGTGTAATATGCCCCCCGCAAATTAAAACAGCAACCACGAAAAGGACACAGTCCAGACACTTCTAGGTGTGGGAGCCTCAGGGGAAGGTTTGAACCTCGTTTGCCATTTGCTTTTCACGAGGGCCCCGCCTGCTTACAGAGCTGCCAGGAGAAAGCAGCTGGCCAGTTTCTTTGTCAACCTTCCCACTGCCGGGTCTTGTCATATGAAGAGATTACAGGTTTGAGGATGGTTTTTTTAACCATGTGTTTCCTTTTTTCCCCCCTACAATTTTCCCTTTAGCACAGACAAGGACCAACCTTCGAGTGAGTACTTTCCTAATTTAGGGAATCTTTTTCTGCTGGATACATGTGGAGACAAACGTGTCATGATGACAGGTTGATCATTGGGTGTGCTCACGGTTCCTTTGTGGTCTGCTGTGTGTATCTCGCGCCCTCTTGTCCGTTTGTCCCTCCTTCTGTCTGTCCGTCCATGGATCTGGCTGTTCCTTCTTAGGATACCGCTCACATGGGCAGAGAGATTTATAATTCCCATCAGCAGCAACTATGGAGTGTTCAGTGTGTGGGCTCTGGAGCCAGGCAACCTGGGTTCAAACACTAATTCCCCCATTTATTAGCCACGTGAACTTGGGCAAGTGTCTGAACCGGTCTGTGCCTCAGTTTCCTCATCTGTAAAATGGGATTAATAATGGCACCCACCTCTTAGAATGGTGGTGAGGGTGAAGAGATACCTTGTGAGTGTGCTTAGCACAGAGTAAGTGCTTAATAGTGATTGTTCACTAATTTAGCTGCTACTTTTGTGACAGAGATCTTCACCAATCAACTGATTAACCCAGCCTTTCCTTCTTCATTCATTCATTCCTTAGTCAGTCTGCCTGGCCAGTTGGTCATCCATCCATCCTTATACCAATCCATCTATCCATCCATATACCAATCCATTCATCTATTCATCCATCCATTCACCCACCCATCCATCCATCCACCCATTCATCATCCTTCCATCCATCCATCCATCCATCCATCCATCCATCCATCCATCTTAACATTATTTTTCCTCCTTGAACCTTACCCACTTGGGACAAAGAGCTGTATGGGCAAGGGATTCTCACCTGCCGAGGAGGAAATAGCGACCTGCGAGGGGGCTTCTGAGAACAGGGGCTGAGAAAGGTTGAGTGGGGAAAGGGAGGAGAGGGGAGGCACGAGGGAGGCTGGTCGGATGGCTGTGTGTGCGTGTGTGGAGGGGCAGCTGGAGGACACAGGGGTTGCCCAGGGAGCAGTGTTTGTTAGGGGGCTGCATGAGGCTGGGTCACACAATGAGGGGCAGGGCCACGGAAACGGGCTTCCTTAAAACCATTTCTAGCACGTCCGTCCTGTTCTGGCCTGTGCCATCCGCATGCACATTGGCCTCTGAATTCCTGGCTCCTTCAGGGACACAATTTCACTGACCACAGGCCAAGGGGTCTGGGAGGGACCACAGGTGTTTCCACCATGTTTATTGGTTTATGGGGCATTTTAACGTGCATGATGCTATCTGGTGCTACTTTTCCCTCTTCACTAATGAGGGAACTGAGGCACAGAGAGGTGAAGTGACTCGTTCAGAGTCACACAGCAGCTGATTGGCAGAATTAAGAGGGAAATTCTTCTACTCGTTTGGGTATTCAGTGCCTGTGGAGCATTCTCCCCAGGGGAAGGTGAAGCGCTGCATAGCTGCAAAAAGTAGGAATGCAGCTTGTGGGAAAAGGACATTAGTCTGAGGACTTGGCATCTCTGAGGCTGGACCCGTGGCCTGAGCTGCTAAGATGCGGCTCCCTGGGCATGACTCAGCTGCTGAGGGCGCTGGTCTTTTGTGCGCCGTAGCAAAGTTCAGACTCTCTGGGAGGGCTGGGTGCCCTTATTCTGCCAATCCACAAACGCTGCGGAGGAGACCGCTGGGCCAAGAGTCAGTGCGGGGCTGGTCCCTGCTCAGCCACCTATGGCAGTTCCCGTGGGCTTGTGGGTGGAGCAGGGAACCAGCAGGAGGCAGGGCAAGTTCCCAGAGAAAGGGATGGTGTCCGTGGCAGGAAAGACGACCATTTATTTAAGTCCTACTGTGTGGCCAGCCACCATCACAAGTGTGTTATCTGCCCCCAGACAGGATATTTACAGTGATCCCACCTAGTAGTTATTATCAGCCGTACTTTACAGAGGAGGAAAACAAGGCACAGAGAGGGGAGGCGATTCTCTCCAGGCCACCCAGCCAGGGGAGCAGTGACTCTGACCCAGACCTGTTCTTTAATTCAAGAACCTTGAGATAAAACTACATCTCCCTCGAGACTGGTTATTCTGAGAAACTTTGGTGGAAAAAAGTCCCCGTTTGGCCCAAAGATAACAGCATCGTAATGAGGTGTTTAATGGATCTGTCTGCAGAGGACGTCTTTGATGAATTATTTAAGCTGGCTCCGGAGAAAGTGAACGCTGTGAAAGAGGTAAGAGAGGTCAAAGTTCCAAGAGTACCTCCTGCCACCCGCCCGCCCACCGCCCACCCGCCTTGAGTCTGGGGGTGGGAGTGGGGCAAAGGGAAAGGGATCGGGTCCTCACTCTGCAACTGCTGTGCGCCGGGTGCAGTGCGGGGGCCTTTTTGTGACCCCAAGCGGGAAGGTCGCAAACCCGAGCTGGGGACCTGGGGCCTTTGTTCTTCCCTGGGTAGGCCATAGTGAACTTCGTCAACCAGAAGCTGGACCGCCTGGGCCTGTCCGTGCAGAATCTGGACACCCAGGTAGGGACTCAGCTGCAGGGTCTGGGGCAGGGAAGGGGCATGGGGAGGGGGTTCCACAGGGCACTGGGAGCCTGGGCTCATCCTGTGTGGCCTGGCATGTGTCACCTCTTGGAACCTTGGGTCCTCCTCTCCAATGGGGATGTTGCTGGTAGGCGGTATTGCCAATCAGGGGCACGACGGGGATCCTGTGAAGTGGGGATCTCAGGGCTTGTCTACGCTGTTATACTTTTCATTGTAAAATAACCACTTTTCAGCTTTTTTCAAAATTAATCTTGGTCTATCCAACCCCAGGACTCAAAGCACATGAGGTTTCCCTAACTGCATTCGCTCGCAGCGTTTATTAGGTTGTGCCGTGTGCCCGGAGGGGTTGTGGGTGCCCACACAGCCCCGTGTCTGTGGACTCCCTGAGTTGCCCGGCCCACTGTTCTGGGGCAGGAACAGAGTCTTAGGAGGTCAGCCTTCCCCAGTGGGTCGTGGCCTCCACGAGGATTCTGTGCCCTGTGGTTTCCCTCAACACAGTGGGGCGCAGAGAAGCTGTGAATTGCCGGCCCAGGGCCTTCAGGGCAGCAACGGAGCCTGCCGCACCCTGGGCGCATTAACTGGGCGTGGTGGTGCAGGCGTCGGGCCACGTGGGTTTTGCTCACACAGCATGACTGGGGGCAGGTGGTGAAGTCAGGTCTGGTCACTGGAGCAGCTGATGTCTCAGGCACAGCCTGACATTAGCCAGTGGGGAACGGGGTAGATACACCCCTGTGCCTGGTAGCTAAAGCCGATACAGCCCTCACCATGTGCCCGGCCCTGAGCAAAGTGCTTTGCGTACATTAACTCACCGACTCCTCCCAACAAACTCTTTAGGTGGGAACTGATACTATCCCATTTTACAGATGAGGACATTAAGCCCAGGGAGGTTAATTAACTTGTCCAAGGTCACACAGTGATTAACTGGTGGACCTGGGATTTGAACCCAGGTCGCTGAGGCCAGAGTTTGTGCTCCATCACCACCTCACACGGCGGCCATGTGAGAAGTCTGTGTGTGACGTGGTGTGGTGACACTGCAGGGTGGAGATAGCAGATGGGCACCTGTTGCTTCTGGGCTCTGAGGACGCCTCCTCCACCTTAGCTGTGTGGCTTTGGACCTGGACTTCTCTCAACCTCAGGCTCCTCTTTTTTGAAAATGGGTGCAGGGATACCAACCTCAGAGAACTGTGAGTAAGAAATGAGATGATGTGTATTACCTGACACACTGTCTATGCATAATAAACAATACATTTCTGGTTTTATTGTATTTTATGTGGGAATAAACAAGATGATTTCTTAGGTTTACATTCTACCCGTTTCATCTTTATCTCTCCCTTGGTAAAATAATGACATTTGGAGAATAATGGCACATGTGACGATGGTATTTTGACTGCTGGATAAAAGGGGATATTAAAGTCCCTGGTATTTTGGTGGTATTACCAGGGAATATGCCAAACTAATAGCATCAGAACAGACCTAATATGAGGAAATTCCATTAAGGACTTCGCGTGGTGGCTTTTCCTCCAACATTCAATCTTGTGTTTTGTGTCTTTGAAGAGATTGAATACGATTATATTAGCATATGATGTGCTGGTGCTAGGGTGACAGCTTTATCTGTGAACATACAGACAAAACAGACCAATACAAATGTGGCCGCCAGCAAAATGAGCCCGGTGTGCTGTTCTCTGCCTTTTCCTGATGGAATTATTTTATACTTAACTCTGTTTCCGCCTGGGCTTCTGTAGCTCATGGAACAGTATGTGGTTTAAAAAATGATTTGAAGCTATTTTACAGAAGATGTAAAAATAGCTCATTTTATTGAGCACATGCTCTGTGCTAGGCAACCAATAACTGCTTTACACCTGCTGCTGTTTACAACAACTCTGCGAGGTCAGGGTGTCGTCCCCGTTTCTCAAAAAGGAACCTGAGGCTCAGAGAGCTTGTGTGACTTCCGCAGGGTCACACAGCCTGTAAAAGGCAGAGGGGATCCTCCAGGCTATCTGCCTCCCATTCCCTCCTTTGTAGTTTGCAGATGGAGTCATCTTACTCTTGCTGATTGGACAACTGGAAGGCTTCTTCCTGCACTTGAAGGAATTCTATCTCACTCCCAAATCTCCTGCGGAAATGGTAAGTTTTCCAAAGATTTTCCTAGGGGTCTACCTCTAGGTAGACAGATCTAGGAAATTGGCATGATCAGTCATTATTTATTCACTTCCAGGTGAAGTAAGGGTGATGGGAAACTTTGTTTGTCCATATGTCTGCCCATCCATCCACCAGCCTCACCCATAGACCCTCACACCTATCCACTGACTTATTCATTCACTCATCCACGCAATTCATCCACCCATCCACCTGCCCATCCATCCACCCATCCGTCCATCCATCCATCCACCCATCCACCCATCTATCCACCCATCCACCCATCTATCCATCCATCCATCCATCCATCCATACATCCACCTGCCCATCCATCCATCCATCCACCTGCCCATCCATCCATCCATCTACCTGACCATCTATCCTTCCATCCATGCATCCACCTGCCCATCCATCCATCTACCTGCCCATCTATCCTTCCATCCACCCATCCATCCACCTGCCCATCCATCCATCCATCTACCTGACCATCTATCCTTCCATCCATCTATCCATCCACCACCTGCCCATCCATCCATCTACCTGTCCCCCCACCCATTCACCCATGCACCGGATCCATCATTTTCTGAGGTCCTCTTGGCATCAGGCCCCGTGGGCCATAAAGACAATCCCACACAGCTGCTGCTTTTGAGGACGGCTCGCTCTCCACCCGCTGGGCCCTCAGTGGTGTGCGGTGTTCTAGGGCTGTGATGAAGTGCCCTGGCTCGTGGTGGGCGGGCCGGTGCGGGGCCTGAGAGAAAGCGTGGTTCGCAGGATCTGCAGCAGCCAGGAGAAGCCTTGCGTGAGAGGTGGCCGTGAAATTGCCTAGGGCTGGGTTCGCAGCGTGAACTAGGGAGGGCACCCCCAGGGGAAGGGAACAGAGTCAGCCAAGGCTTGGACGTGGCAGGGCTTCTGGCCCTGTGGGGGTCAGGAGTTCCCATGTGGACCCTGGAGCCTGGGGGGCTGATTGGGAGATGGCTGCGTTAGTCCAGGCGGAGGGCTCTGGTCTCTGCACCTCAGGCTTTTTGCCCCTAAAATGTGCTCACAGCCCCTGCCCTGCCACCCCTCAGACCACAGGGGCATGTGGTCCCTGGTCCCCCAGGCCCGCCCAGGACCCCAGGCCCGCCCAGGACCCCAGGTGGCCAGCTTCTCTCTGTCTGCACCAGGGTCCCAGGGACGGCTCAGCGGCAACCCAGGGTAGGAGGGCACCCTTTCACCCCTTCACAGAGAGGGGACACCAGGCAGGGCTGGGTGCCGGTTCCCAGTGCCAGCCTTGGGGAGTTTCTGGGAAAAGGAAAGATTTTGGTCCCCTTTGATGTGCCCATGGCCCTGGGGCTGGTTCAAACCTCAAGGCCTGCCTGGGGTTGGGGGGTGAGCCTGTACACCCTCGACCCTGGCCCAGTTCCAGTTTCGATCTCTGCCTGGCCCCCACATATCCGCAGCCCCGTCTGTCCCTGCTTCTGGCCGCAAGTCTGACCTACCCGGTTCCCTGCCGAATGTTCCAGGCCCGCCTTCCCAACCTGCCTGACCCCCAGCCGCAGCCTCGCTGCCCGCCTGTGCTCCTTACTCGGCCTGGGCCTCTGGCATCTCCAGACCTTCCCCAGGCCGTTCTCTAGGCCCATCCTGCTTCCTGCTTTGCTTCAACCCCTTAGCCGGGTGGTCGGCTCTGACCACCTTATCCCCTCTGAGCTCTTGGGCATCCTATGGGGCCCCGAACCATGGCTACTCTCACATTCTCTTGGAGTTCCTACCTGCCTCCGGCCTCACCTGGCCCCTTACCCCACTTCTCCCTCACTCCACACCCCTGCAAGGGAGGCAGGGCAGGGTTGCATCTCCATTTTACAGAGGGGAAAACTGAGGCTTTGGGACATGCCCAGGGCCATCCAGCTACTCAGTGGCAGGTCTGACACCAGGACTGGCCACCCAACCCTCAGCCCACATTTCCCCCTTTGCAGCAGGAAGATGCCATCTTTGTGGGCATCATCTCCACCTTCCCAGGAGGCAGGGGGGCTCTTGACCTGAAGATTGATTTGGGTCTCAGATTCCCAAGAGCTGAGAAGCAAACAGGCTAGAGCAGTGCAGTGTTTGTAGCTCTAGTGGTGGTAGAAACAGTGGTCAGCACTTCCTAAGTTCTTGTCCCTCACCAGGCACTGTATTAATCAGCTATTGCCACGAAAATGCTGTGTAACAAACCACCCAAACAACCAGTGGCTTGAAACTGCAATCCTTCATCCTCAGGGATCTGCGGGTCGGCCGGGTTCGGCTGCTCTAGGCTTGGCTGGGCTCCGCCACTCGTGCGGGATGGGATGGGCGTCAGGCCACCTAGGCTGGGGTCACTGGGGTGGTCCAGCTCTGTGCCACATGCTTCCCATTCTCCTCCTGAGACTGGCAGTGAGCCTGGCGTGGTGTTTTCACGGCAACCGCAGGGACACAGAGACAAAGCAGAACACACGAGGTGCAGGCTCAGACCTGGGGTGCTGTCACCTCCTCTTTATCCTCGTGGCCAGAGGAGGCCCTGCGGCCTTGGTGCGGAGGCGGGAGAGCCCTGTGGTGTGCGGTGCAGAGACGATGCAGAACTGGGCCCAGGGAGGCGCTCGCCTCCCTGGATGAACTTGCTAATTCCTCCCCACATCGGGCCTCTGAGTAGGAACTATTCCCCATCCCCATTTTGCTCTGGGGAAACTGAGTTCAGAGAGAGCTAGTAAGCTGGTCAGGAGCACACCACTAGTTAGGGTCGAGGTCAGACTGGCATCAAGGCTTGTCCGTCTCCAAAGCCAGAGCCGCCTCCTTGCGTCCTTCCGGGGGAGCCAGGGGGAGCCCCATGGGAGATGGGGGCGGGGTGGTGGGCCCAGAAGGAGGCTCGCCCGGAGCTGCAGGGACGGGGGGCTTAGGTGGGTCAGAGTGAGGCTGAGACCGTGGCACTGACCTTCATCCACAAGGCAGGAGGCCCACGTGTGATGAGGGTGGGAGGATGGAGACGGGCAGGTCACACGCGGGCCCCCTGGGGACGAGGGGCTCAGAGCAGCACAGGGGTCCCCTCTCTGTTACTCAGGTGTTGGGGATGTCACACCTGAGTAATGGGATGTCAAGGTGTGATCACTATTTGCTCACCTCCAACCCCTAGTTAGTTACAAGCCAGGGAAAAACGTCCCAACTTCCAAGGCCCCTGCGTGCAGGCAGCCTGCCAACTCCACCGGCTTCAGGACCGGCTTCAGGACCGGCTTCCAAAGATGAGGCACAATCTATGTGGGGGAAAAGAAGCAGCCTCTCAGCTCAGACCCCGAGGATGCATTTGTATGGACTATTGTAGGAAACCTCAGCCGCAGGAATGTGTAATAAAAATGCCGAGGAAGTCATTAGCAGAAGAGCGCAGGAACAGCGGCCTTTCCGAGGAATTGTTTCCTCTGCAGCGTGGCCTCTGGCCATTGAATTTCTCCTTATCAGACCTTCTTTGCCAACGGGGTCTATGTGAGGTTGCCGTTCCCTGAGGGAAGAGGCGTCCCGGTGGAGGAGAGAGGCGGTCATTTTCTCTGCGGAAATGAAAGCACGGGGCCAAGAGTCTCTGGCTTCCTCCTACATGCAATTACTTCTCCCCGGGACGATTTGAATGCATCCTACTGGGTCGTAACCTTCTCTCAGCTCCATACTTTCATCATCTCAAACTGTGCGCGGAAGAAAAATGATGCTTTGGGTGGAGCGTGGTGGGATCAGGCTGGAGCCTGGGGCAGCTGCTCCTGGTCAGACTGGGCATCGCCGAGGAGTGTGACCCATAGAAACAAGTGCGATCACCGCCCCAGTTGATGGCAGCGATTCTCACATTCCACGAGGGCAGGCAGTGGGTCTGGGTTTGCCCCTGTTGCATGGCCAGCGCATAGTAGATGCTCAATAATTTTTTTTAATTTTTTTATTTTTTGCGGTATGCAGGCCTCTCACTGTTGTGGCCTCTCCCGCTGCGGAGCACAGGCTCCGGACGCACAGGCTCAGCGGCCATGGCTCACGGGCCCAGCCGCTCCGCGGCACGTGGGATCTTCCCAGACCGGGGCATGAACCCACATCCCCTACATCGGCAGGCGGACTCTCAACCACTGCGCCACCAGGGAAGCCCAATAAATATTTTTTAAATAAGTGAAGGAAGTCTTTCAAAGACACTGGTCCCGTGAGCTGCTCTGTGACAAATGGATCCTACGGTCAAGTCACCTGGGAAAACATGCACAGTCTTGAAGGCTCATGACACACCAAAACACATTCAAGGCTCTGAGAAGTCCTGCAGTGGGGGATTTCCATATAACTTTGTCGAAGCCAACGTTTCCCAAAGCTGTTTGGCTTTCTGCACCCTGGACCACGCTGTGGGGATGCGGGCTTAGAGCGTGAGCGCATCAAAGGCAGGGCTGCGAGGCGGGGGAACCCAGCCTGGGTGTCTCGTTCTCACTCTGACATTTACTTTCTGTGCGGCCTGTCAATAGTGTTCATGATGAGAATGAGAATAATAGCAACAGCTGTAACCCTCATTTTCCAGAATTTTCCAGTCGGGGGAAGACTTGGGGACAAAGCACGGGACGAGCGGTGGAGGTCTTAGCCCCTCCCTCTGAGGGTTGCTTCCACCTGGTCTGGACATCCCCAGGGGTGTGTCTCACCTGCTTGGGAGCATTGGCACCTGTGACAACCTTGGTTTCTTCTTCTTGACGGGCTCTAGAGGGGCCAGCCCTGCTGGGCCAGTGACCCAGCCTCTGCCACTCTCCCTCTTGCATGTCGGACCCAGCTCAGTGCCTCTGTCCATCTGATGCTCCATCATCTCTCCCCCCGTGGAGAAGGGCTCTGCTCGCTGCCTTCCAGATCCCCGTGGTCCCCGCACGGCCACCAGCTGCCATGGAGGACTCTGGCCCCTTGCCCGGGATGCGGCAGGAGTCCTTGGCGTGGGTGGGACATGCTCCCCCTGCCCCTGCCCTGTGCCCTTGGACCAGGACTGCGACCTGCCCCTTTCCCTCTCAGACAGAGTTCTTTCTCGGGGGCTTCAGGCCCTCCTACACGCCTCACTTCCCGACCCTTGTAGGAGCCCGGACAGCTGGAATTTGCAGGGAAGCCCTGGCTCTGCCTTTATTATTCCACGTTCAAGTCTTGCCTTGTGGTTCCAATCTCGTGTCCACCATCACACTTGGATCCACACGGCAGCTTGGAAAGGCCTCTGGAAGATGCATTAATCCCCTTGTACAGATGAGGGGACAAAGGCCCAGGCAGGACATGTGCCTCGTCTGACCTGTGACTTGTGACCTAGTGGGGCGGGTGCACGGACATCTAACCTAGATCTGCCCAGACCCACCAGGAGGTGACTGCAGGCGGCCTAGTCAGGGCGGCCTCCTCGGATGGGCCTGGCTTATCTGCTGCTCTGCCGGCCGGGTCTCTGGGCCCCTGGCTAGGTTGCCATGGGAACTGCCTGGCCTGTGTGAAGCGGGCTCTGGGGCTGGTATGGTCGGCAGACGGGGAGGGAAGGGAGCAGCACGGCTGGCCACCAGTCTGGGACATCCAGTCAGCACGGTGGGCCTGAGACCTTTGAAGGAAGGACCTGCTTGAGGTGCCAGTGAATCGGGGACTCAGCCAGCTTTATCCCTGCCTCGTCCTGCCTTGCCCCACGCCCTCTTTTTTACCACACCAGCCTGCTGCCCCAAGGAGAAGGGCAGGGGTCTTTTCGGTGGGGTCTGAGAAACTAGCTGTGAAAAGGCAGGGCTCCACTAACAGAGGGGCTGCTCTGAGCCGAGGGCTGATGGGGCTCCCCAGGGCCCGTCACCCAGGGTCCTGTATCGGGGGAGATGGTGGAGACCCCACTTTGCAGGGAGCGAGTGGAGGGCCCGAGGCACCAAGGGACTTGCTCGAGGCTCCCCAGGACCGAGCGGGGATCCGAACCTGGGTGGGCCTGACTCTGGCCCGGGGAATTCTCAGCTCTGGGAGCGGTGTCTCAGGCGCCAGCCCAGGCAGAGGGGTGGCACAAAGGGCAGGCACCTGGGTAGAGGTGGCTCCTTCAGCCCCCAGTCTGCTTTGCAGGCGTCTGGTTCCGACACGTTCCGTCTTGTGAGTTCAGATGAGCCCTGTGGCCACTCTGAACGTCGGTCTCCTCATCAATGCTTTACCCATGGACCTCAGCTCTCTGTTCCTGAGGGAGTCTCTGTTGCTCACGGGTTTTGGGGCTGCTTCGGAAAAGATCAGGATGAACCCATGCTCCCTTCCCTGGTTAGTCCCCTCACCTGGCAGGACTCACCCCCAGGTGTCACCTCCACCAGGAAGCCTTCCCTGATCCCTGGGCTGGGTGCCTTCCTCAGGGACTGCCTTTCCCACTAGAGGTGGCCTCCTTGCTGCACGATGGGTCATCGTGCTGACACCTGATGGGGTCTTGTCATTGTAGCTACACAACGTCACCCTGGCCCTGGAGCTGCTGAAAGATGAAGACCTTCTCAATCACCCCGTGAGCCCCGAAGGTGAGTGCAGGGCCCTCGTGGGCAGCCAGCCTCGGGCAAGCGCCACAGAGCGGGGCACGGGGCATGGGGACAGCCGTGTGTTGGTACAGCCTCTTGCCTGGCGTTTGCTGAGTTTTCCTAGGAGGAGCACTGTGTCCACAGCCCCTACCCACGCCAGTGGAGGGTGGTCCTGGGGAGAGGAGATGGGGGACTGAGGTCCCTGGGGATGGGCTGTCCGGAGGGCTGAGGCCTGGAGGAGTTGCAGTGTTGGGGGCCCCACAAGAGGGTGTCGGGGAGGAGAAGGAGGTAGCACGCCCTGTGCTGGGTCCTGGGACTCACGCCTAGCTTGACCGACTGTCCTGGTTTACAGGGGCCTCTCCAGGGTTTAGCCTGAAGGCCTGTGTCCCAGGGAACCCCTTGGTCCCGGGCAAAGGTGGACGGTTGGCCACCCCCTGCCCAGGCCTGAACCCTGCCCTGCTCTCCCCTGGCCTGCAGACATCGTGAACAAGGACACCAAGAGCACGCTGCGAGTCCTCTACGGCCTGTTTCGCAAGCACAAGCTGAAAGAAAGCACGGACGGGGAGCCCCTGGAATCCCCAAATTAACCGTCACAGCCCCCAAAATCTGCTTCTCAGAGCCTGCCTGCCAGCCCCAGCTGGAGGTCCTGAGGGCCGCAGAGGGATCTCCTCACCGTCCAGCCAGCCCCTGGGCCTCCCACTCTTATCCTGTGTGTCTGCGGCACGCCCCAGCCCCCCTTCCCTCTCTGCTCCTTCCATCTGTCTGAATATCTTTGAACTCACTAAGCGTGGATTCGTTCTGAGCCAACCTCTGGCCTCGCTCAGTTTCTTTTAACAAATGTATTTCTGGGAGGGATTTGGGGAGCCTGCCGTTGTCCTGGGAAGGGCCCCGCTAAATGTACATGAATATGAGCTGACCCCCGCCTCCGCACGCAGCCTCTCTCCCCACAGGGTGGGTGTGGGAGGGGCTCTTGTCCCTGAGGCCACCCCTGGGGTAGCCGAGAGCCCAGCGGTGCTGACCTTCACTGGGGCGAGGGTCCCGCCCTGGAGCAGGACCGCCCCTCAGGTGTCAGGGTGGACCTGACGGCGGAGACCCGCCTGCCCACACTCAGCTACTGCAGCCCGCTGCCTCTCGAGTCGGGTGATGGCCCCAGCATCCCCCTCCAGAGCAGGGGCCCTAAGTGGCTCCAAAGCCAGGCCGCTGTGCCCCTCGGGAAAGTCAGTTCAGTTACTTTGCAGAGGAACCGTGGCCCAGGCCCAGCCCTACGGCCGCGATGGTGAGCTTTGCCCAAAAGTCACAGAGAAGACGTCTTTGTGGCTGATTAGTGGGTCAGATCGTCTCCTAGTCGGTCCCCAAGGAGCTGCTGCGTGTGTGTGTGTGTGTGTGTGTGTGTGTGTGTGTGCGCGTTTGTCTGTGTGTGTGTCTGTCTCTGTCTCTCTCCAGCGAGACTCAGCACTCGCTGCATACATTCCTCAAAGCAAAAGTCCCTGTGGAAGGATTGAACAGGGATTCCCAGAGCTGACCTCAGATGGGCACCAGCCTGGAGGAAGCACGGTGGGCGGGGCTGGGGGTAGGGAGGGCCCACAGGGGAGGGCGGGGCGGTGGACCCTGGCTGGTGCTGGGCTCCTTCCTGCTCTCCCAGCTCCAAGCCCCTGTGGAGGACAGAGCCTACTAGGTCTGGGGTTGTCACAGTTTGACAGCCTTGGATTGGGGGAGGGGCTTTGGGGCAGGAGGCCGGCAGGGGCCAGGCCATCTTTGCCAGACCTGCTGCTGGAGAGTGGAGAATGTCCTGCCTACAGGGAGGGACATAAGGAACCCTTGGAGCTGGTGTCTGAGTGTGAGAGAGTCTCAGAGTGGTCTTCCCTCCAACCCACCCGCCATCCACATGCTCCCCTTACCTCCTGCTTCACAGATAATTAGGTGTAGATGAGACCATGAGGATGGGGCCCCTGTGATGGGATTAGAGTCATTATAAGAAAAGAGAGATCAGAGCTCTCTCTCTGCCATGTGAGGACACAGCAAGAAGGTGGCCATCTGCAAACCAGGAAGAGGGCCCCCACCAGGCACCAAATCATCTGGCACCTTGATCTTGGACTTCCCAGATACCAGAACTGTGAGCAATAAATGTCTGTTTTTAAAGACACCCAGTCTATGGTATTTTATTATAGTAGCCGGAGCTGACTAACACGGATTTTCAATACCATTAGTCATTAGGGAAATAAAGTTAAAACCACAATGAGATCTCACTATACACCCCCTAGAATGGCTACATTGAAAAACTGACAATAGCAAGTGTTGACAAGGATGTGGAGCAATTAGAATTCTCATACATTGCTGGTGGGAATGCAAAATGGTACATTTACTTTGGAAAACATTTTGGCAACTTCTTATAAAGTGATACAAACACTCACCATATGACCCAGCCATTTCACTGTTAGGTATTTATCCAAGAAAAATGAGAACATATGTCTACACAAAGGCTTAGACATGATTAGCTGTACTATTCATAAAAACCGAAGACTGGGAAGAGCCCACATGTCCATCGCCAGCAAAGGCGTAAACAAATTAGAATGTGTCTATATAATGGGCTTCTGCTTAGCGACAAAGAGGAAAGGGTGTTGATACAAAACAGCCTGGATGCTCTCAACAACATAGGCTAAGTGAAGGAAATGAGACACAAAGGGCTACACGTTTATAAGAAATTCTAGAAGAGGCGAAACCCCGGTAGGGGCAGGAGGGAACTTCGGGGTGACAGGAATGTTCTGTGTATGATCGTTGTGGTTACGTGACTGTCCACGTGTGTCAAAACTCATCAAATCGTACACTGAATGGGAAAATTTACCTCTTGTAAATTATTCCACAACAGAGCTACAAAAATCAATTTAAATTTTTTTTCTGATTTGCTGTCAAACTGAACAAGGGTGAGGATGGCCAACCTTTGGGGGGAGGGCTATGGAAGACAGGGAGCCACGACCCCCGGGATGGGGGGGCCTTGATTTCATGCTTTCAGGGAACCTGGTATGAAGACGGAAAGTGGGGCCTCGGGGGATGTGATCTCTTATGAGTGCGGAGACTTGAGCCTGTTGAAATGCTCACAGGGAGGGTGCAGAGAGAAAAGGTGAAAGGTGAGCGGGAGAATCTTACTGGAGGGAGGTACCTGGGCAGGTGACAGGAGCTGGGCTCCAGGTACAGGGAGGGGTACCTGGGATGGGGGGCCGCTGGGAGAGGGGGGATAGGGGAGCAGAGAGAGAGAGAGAGACCACCTAGTGCCCAACTGCATGCCCATCGGGGATTGTCACGGCCTTTTGATGTCCTCTTTATCCTTTTGTAACATCTCTTACTCTGAAATCTACTTTGATTTTAGACTTTAAATTTACTTTATTTTTTTACTTTGAATCAGATGTTAAAATCTGATTTTAATACAGCCACTCAAGCTTTCTTTTAGTGTTAGCGGGGGATCTTTTCTATTCTTTTCCTTTTAAAAGATCCGTGTCTTTATATATAAAGAGGGTTTCTTATAGATACAAATAGTTGTGTCTTTTTATCTGATCTGAATACCTCTGCATTTTAATGGAGGGTTGAGTCCATTAAAAATTTTTTTTATTGTGGTAAAATACACATAATGGAATTTTCCATTTTAGCCATCGTAACACTTGCAGTTCAGTAGCATTAAGTTAACTTCGCCCTGTGTGCCGACGTCACCACCATCTCCAGAACCCTTTTCATCTTGCAAAAACAAAACTCTGTACCCGTTAGACAGTAACTCTCCACACCCCTCCCTCTGGCCCCTGGCAACCACCATGCTCCTGCTTGACCAGACCCACATTTTGAACTGCCCTGGACACAGGGCCCCTTGGGGTTCCCACCCCAAACTCCCCCGATTGAAGTCAGAACCCGCCCCTTCCCCTGTCCTGCCTCCTGCCGCCCCAGCCCTTTTTCCGGCCCCTCCAACCTCCTGATCCCAAAGCCTGAGACCTGTGACTCGCTCTGGACCCTCTCCTTTCCCCCACCTGGGCACCAAGTCTTTCTGCCCTTTGTTCGCCTTTCAAACTCCTCCCTTCTGCCCCTGGAGGCCCAGGCCCTCGCCGTGCCATCCATCGGGGCGGGGACAGTAATTCCCCAGCTGGGCTCTCTGCCGCTCTCCCCTCTGACCCCGATTCCACAGCAGCAGCTGGAGTTTTTCTGTCCTGGAAACCTGATCCCGTTACCATGCTGCTCTAAACCTCCCCGGCTCCCCGGCTCCCCGATGCTCTGGGTCCTCCTGGCGCGGCTGGCTTTGAGTGTCTTCTTGTTGACCATGTTCTATCTCCTACTCCACCGCCTCCTTTCCAAAATGCTTTTAGTTTATTCCCTGAAAGCCCCAAGGTCTTTCCAGGCCTTCCTGATGCTGTTATCCCTGCCTGAGATGCCCTCCTCCCACCTACCCCCGGAGCTTATCCCTCACAAAGGGGTGGGGGCACCCTTGGGGAGAGTCCAGAGGAGGGATGAGCTCGGGGACAGGGTGGACGCCTGGGGGGTGGTCCCAGGGCTTGGGCTAGGTGGGCGGAGTGGCTCCCCCGAAGAAGCCTGAGAAGGGAGTGGCTGGGGAGCCCACGGCCCTCACCTCCCTCTCTCCTCCATTCCACGAAATCTGACCCCAGCTGGAGTCGCAGCAGGAGCTGGAAGCAGGATAATTACCGTGGGCTGAACTGGAAACCGTCCAGGGCCCAAGAAGGAGCTGGCAATCTTGGGCTGGTGCGCAAACAGCTTCGGAGTGACGGGAAATGCCTCGAAGGCCCGGGTGCCTCGGAGCTGAGCCGCTTCCCAAAATAATCCAAGGGGCAGCTGTCTCGGATTCTGAAAGTGGGTCTGGCTGCCCGAGCTGCAGGAAGCCCCAGGCCCACACCAGCCTCACTCTGGG